TCTGTGGGTGTGCAACACATACTTGGTAAACGTGATAACCAGGTTACTGACCAATGACATGTCTAGGTTAACTCCACAGGCAAGGTGGCCGTAGAAGCTTCCACTTAATCGCTGTATCCTAACTCCACAGTATCTCAACTTCCTACCCACCCAGAAGGAACAGCATTTGTTCCTTCTATCACTTCTGTACTGTGTCTCCAAAACTTTCTTTTTTCCCTTTTGGTTGTATGTCTGTAAAAAGAACAGATCCTTCCATGCAGACACTTGCAACAGTTCAGATCTTGACTAAGGCATTATGACGTGGAGCTCTCCCCTACTTTTACTCCTTTTCTAAGGGCAGCTGCTTCTCTATTTTGCTTTGCGCATCTGTGGACAACAGAATCTTTTCTCTATCACAAGAATGTCTTCATTAAGTCAGTTTCTATCTTCAGCGTATTCTTAGTCTTCTGCATATACTATAATCTATGCGTGCGCACAAGAAAGGATCGAGAGGCAAAATGAAAAAGCAGGAAGCTGCAATAGACAATGAGGCAGGAACTCTGGGAAACTTGAGCATCTTTTCTTTTCCCTGCTGTGCTGCCTTCTTTACTGTTGTATTTATTGCTTTCATCCTTCTTTCCTGTTGTATCTGGAATCCCTCCTACATTTGCATGAAACATAATTGCCATCTCCTCTGTTTTGTGACTTCAATCACAAAAAGAGGCTGAGGCAAGACACAGCTAATATAGCAACTACAACATGAAGTCACATAACTCTGAATTTGATTACTATCTTGAACACTTAATCTCATACAAAATTTGGCAAACTGGGATCTTTAAAGTTACTTTTAAACTTAACCTACAGTTTTGCACTTAATATTGTTTGCAAAGCATTTGAGTGCTAATGTCAGTATACTCATCAGCTCCTGCACCTAAACTAGAAATCCTATCCCTTTTGCATAGGCAGCAGGACAGTCCCTTTTGCACAAGTAGTAGGATAGAAGCAGAATGTGCATTTTAAATTATGTGCATTTTAAATATGCTGTGGAAATCAAAAATGGACAGGGATCACTTTTTGATATCAAAAAGAAACCCTACTTGATAATATATTAGCAATTTTTAATCAAGAGAATTCCCCTCACACATCTTTTCCTACCCTGCCTGAAGTGTTTCGCGGGGCTTGTTTTTGGCTCCCCTACCTTTGCTAATTCTGGAACTTCACATTGTAAGCAAAGAAACTGAAAGTAGGTTGTGACTTGCAGCCGTTTTGCCTCAGGTTAAAGGCTTTCATATTTGCATTGCAGAAAGAGTTCTTATTTTTCCCCTAAGATTATCTGTGCACTTAACGACTGGAGGAAAAAATCATCCATTACTCTCAACATTTCACTGGAGACCATCTGCCCTCACTTTTGCTTCAGCTGCTGCCTCCATTTTCTGTATTTGCTGCAAATTCTACACAGTCTGACTGGAAGAAACAACTGTTCTCTGGCTGTGAACAAAGCGTAAGGGAGAAAGGGAGTAATCTATGAAGGCTGGAATATGTCAATGCCCCAAAGGCAACACTCTGAGATAGCACACAGAGAAGAAGTAATTTTGCTAACTGAAGAATAATCCAAGGTAAGTATTTAATAGGCTGATCTGGACTTGAATAAGTGAGTATCTGAAAGTTTCCTGGTGACAGATGCAGTGAGAAATATGAAGGGATGAAGCCACATAACGTCTTTCAGTTAATATTGAGTAAGCATGGATGCATATTCTAGTCATTCATCATATGAGAACACAGGGACTGAAGTTATTAATGTAGGTCTTTAACATCCATTATTTGGGCAACGGGCTTCCTATTCCAAAAAAAAGAGTTCAAAGGTTCAAATAATCCTTACCACTGAGTGTCAAACAATGATCAGAAATAGACAAAAAAAAAAAAAAAGAAGGCAGTAAAGTTCCATACTCCTTAACATGAACAATTTATTGCCAGTCCCACTAGAAGCACAGGCTCTTATAAAAGCATGGGACTAGCTGGGTTTTCCTGATGACTCTGTGAAGGAAATCCAGCTCAATAACCCTTGGAATGACTTCAAGTCCTGGTGGTATTTCTACAGGAGGGAGCCCAGAGTGGGTTGCTGTTAGATAAATCTAATGAGCTGGGGCTAACCAGCAGCTTTCATGGAAGTCAGATGTAAGATGGCAAAGGCCCATGTTAGTCCCATATAAGTCCAAACCTGGGCACTAAGGCTAACATGACTTTCTAGGACTGCAGCTCTCCAAGTTACCTGTTTTCAGTGCACAATAAAAGTATTTCATAATGAAGTGAAGGTTTACTTAGATGTACATATTAACTTAAACCACAAAGTACTATCATTTTTATTATAGTAGTCTAATGACTACTTACTTGTAATTTCACTAAATAGACACCATTTTTCCTGTTATTTTTTCCAAGTAAAGATGGTACTGAATCTTTGTATGAACTCATTTTGCTACACAAATAGATATTTAAGTTCTTGTGGCCTGTTTGTAAGTTAACAGAGAGAACTACACAAGATGTACAGGTGGGTACAGTAGAGAACTGTGCTGTGAGCAATGGATGTTTTACTTTCACAATCTATTGTCTTAAGTTGATGTTCAGAACAAAATAGACAAAAATAGTATAGTAACTATGCAAGAGCAAAACATGAGATAAAGAAGAGATCCGACAAGAAAGGGAGGCCACTATCTGACATTTTAAAAGGGCAAATCGAAAGCAATCAACACCCAACAAAATGTTCAGTGTAGGATGAGGTGATAGCTTTGGATACACTCAGGATGCTATAATGAGGCTAACAAGTGCTGTGTGTTTTAATGTAAATTAACACAAGATAATCTCTTCACATATTTAAGTGATGCACTTCAACTTAATTAATACATATTTAATAGAAGTCTTCTTGAACAGCTGTTATTTACTTCTGGAGTTTCTACACATTAGCACTGCCTGCTTTGTTCTGCTCTGAAGTTATTCATGCTCCAAAGTACTTTAAGAACTCAGGCTGTATAAAAATTGAACACTCTTCACAAAAGAGACAGCCTTTCTGATAACTTAATATTTTAACATTAAATATTCAAGCACTTTCTGAACAAAAGGTCAAATTCTATTTAAAGCGTCTGTGTGAAACAAGCAAGCAGATGCTTAACACTACTAGACAAATACTTTCCACACCAAGAATGATAAAGAACTGGCCATCAATCACCTTCCCAGGCTTGAAAATCAGCTTTACTTCACTTTTGGTCCCTAAATTCTGCAGTTACAGTTTATATGTAATAATATAGAACTAACTTATGACCTGTTCCTCCTGCAAGTGCTACACAATGGTGTGCTAAAACAAAGTACTGAGAGAGTGTAAGTATTTGCTGCATGTTCTGAGCACAAGGCCAATTCACTGGGGTTTTGTCTTAAAACTACTGTGCATGACATTATTTCAGTTGCACCTTACATGTGGTATTCAAGTAATTTTCAATTACCAGTCCTTTTATTCAGATGTAAATCCACCAAAGTCATAGCCATTTGTAAGATTTTAAGATATGTGTGACTATATACCAACACAAGAAACATGCTAATACTTTACATTTACACATTTGTAGCAATGAATGCAACAGTTCTTATCAGTGAATTAGCTATAGTTTTCAACTAACTACTTTAAATTGTTAACTCTGCTCATGGGATTAGCACTGACTAGTGCTCACCGCTTACATGGCAGCCTTTTAGCTTGTATGTTTACTGAAAAAAACTGTAAACTTCGTGACAGTTCTCTTAGATAGCATGTCATGGTACAGTCATCTTTAAATCTTCTGTGCAATCAGCTGCAGAAATACATGCCACTTGTAAAATGCCTTGAAATAGTCCCAAATACACAAAAGTGAAAAATATATACTGATTTAAGCACACAACTATTACTAATATCTGAATTCATTCTTTTTTATTTCATAGGGTGTTTTTTTCTACAATAAGGAGGCTGTAACAAGGAACTCATAATTTAGATTACGAACCTAGATAATAAATCAGATCAACACTTTACCTGGTGAGTACAGTTACATTAAAATATACAGAGGGTGAATGGATGCAAAGAAAAAACATTTAGAAAATATCTTCAAGATCCTCAAATACTTGTGTACTACCTATACCTGCAGTTTTGACTTACAGCTGGAAAGGGAATGAAAAACAGGATGATGCAACTGCAATGTTTCCTGATCACTATGAGCAAACACAAATATTAGCACAGTCAGAAAAGGAAGGATGGGGACAAGTAGCTGGGATGGAATTATGTTTTTTGATTGAAAGGCAAACACAGAGCAGAGTAAAATGCTTGTATAAATACGGTCTCAGAAAAAGTAGTGCCAGACACAACAAACGGGCACCTGAAAAGATTTCTGTGCACTGAAATTTTGTCAGTCTGCTTGTGAAGAAAAGGGAGATAAGCAGAACATCAAGGTTGTCCTCAGGTCGTAAAAATGTGTTTTATAGGAAGCCAGCACACCAGAGATATGTGTCTACTCCTGTGGGGAGCTAGGTGGGAGATAGACTATTCCACAGAAAGAGCACCCGAGGAGAAGACTTCACCTCAGGCTGCAATGTTTTGTAATCATTGTTATATTAGCAAATCTAAATTTCCTAAAAATTCCACTTCTGCCTTTGTAAGGAGGATGCATGTTTTGCTCAGGGAAGAACTGCTAGCTGACACACACAAAAAATGTTTGTATACTTGCTTTGATATATACAATTTAACTTGCACTAGGATTAGCAGATGCCTGATGCAGAGCTGTCAAGGAAGGAGATAGAGGTCTCAGAGGACCGACTTACCTCACAGTCCCAAGGAATGGAAATATATGCCCACACTTTATACATCCACAACACAACAGATCCTCTTTGTTATTTTTTTAAACTTCCTTTGAGCTTAAAGATGAAATTGAAGTGCAATTGCCTATAATATACACACTGAGACCATAATATTTCCCCCCACATTTTACAGGAAAAAAATGAAAATCTGTATTTACCTTTCAGTTTTGGTAGAAAGGCTTCAATCATAATTACACCTGTGTGCATAGGAAGGAACCTGGCAGTTGTTAACATTCCTACTAGTCTGGAGAGGTACAAAGCTGTAGGAACTTGCTGAAAAATAGCAATGAACCTTTATTAAAAAAAAGAAAAAGTGAAAACATTTTGAATAAATTCCAACTCTACTTAAAGTGTAATTATATATTTACATTTATTTTCTAATAAGTATTATAAGTAAATCAATTTCCCAATTATCTCAGATTTTTGTATGGCATACAATTATTACTTTTTTTTTCTAATAAATGCACAATTCTAATGAAAAAATAATGATCTTGAACTTTAATAGAGCCCTTCATTTGAGGAGATGAAAGTGCATACATTCATTCATTTATTATGTCTTACAACCCCCCTGTGATGTAGGTACTATTATCATCATTTTACAGATCGGAAAACTGAAAGGCTAATTAACTTGTCCAATTTACAATACTGTTAGCTGTAAACTTAGGGTGTCCTATTGCACTCACAAGTGAAAGAAAACTGAGCTCATCCTATGATGAATATTTACTAAAAATGCTTAAACTTCACAAGCATTTTACTTATAGTAGAGGTATATTACACAAGCCAACGGTATTTGATTTTGTGGATTTGAGTACCTCAGAAATATGCTGCCTAGAAACTAACATCTACAGTTAATTTTAAAGTGTCATTTGGTTTCACAACTAGGTGTGGAGATGATAGGCATTTTCATTTAATGTTATTAGCCCTTCAAGTGCACATTCGTGTTTTAATTCTGTATAACGTATCAAATTCCATTTTTCATACATACAAACAAAAACACTGTTTGCTGACAAACTCATTCTCTCAGTTTTCTTATGTGATCCATAAATCTATTCACTCGGTCAGGATCAACACCATTTGCCCAGTATCCTTCTTTCTTGAAATACGAACCAATTATTAAGGCATTTGCATCCAAGTAATTCCTCACATTCTCCAGAGTCACTCCAGACCCAATCAGCACAGGAATCTTCACGGCATCTTTTACCTCTGAAGTGAAGAAAAGCAGTATTAGAATTATGTCCTCTGATCACCTCTGTCCAGTCTTTAAAATTCCCACAAGGTCAAGAAACTCAGATCATGGTTTTATTACTTTTATTAGAGAAGAAAATAGCTTCTTTAGGGAAACCATCTTTAGCTTTGAGCAACTGTTAACAAAATACAATTTGCTTTGCATTCTGTGATTATGTGAAGCCCTGCAAAATAGCATTCCTGGCCACATTTCACAGGAGAGCTCCAATTCTATAGGAAGATGGGTCTAAAAGCCCCAGAGGTATATCCCTTTTTCTTCTCAGGACATCAGCATCTCCTGCCTTCAACTGCATTCCTGCATAAATTCATTTGTCTCCCACGCTCCTGGTGAGAAGGAACTTTGGATCCAGGAAGCCTTTACACAGCAGGACTAGCATGGTTTTTGCTGCACGCGGGACTCTCACTTAAGGCAACTGCTTCCATCACACTCAGAGGCTCCACTGCACTTAGGGTACTACGTAGCCATGGAAAGGAGCTGCTGTTTGCATTGCAGCAGCAACCGATACAGGTTCCAGACAAATGAGATCTGCTGCCTCAATAGAAAATTTCCCCCTGCTACAGTCACCCTGCCTCCTGCAGATTCTTAGCTGCTCCCCATTTTCCTTTCACCTTAAAAGAACTAAATTCTGGACCCCCTGAAAAATCTTCTTATCAAGATTCTATTCTTGATTTCTCTCAAGAAGGAAATTCTTTCTATCAAGAAGAATCAAAATACAGAAATAAGAGGAAAATGCTGTTCTTTCTCTGCATTTATTGTACCAGCTCACATTCTTTTTAGCAAGCATGTGGTGAGATTATTAGAGTGGCAGAACTATCCAGTAGGGCTATCATCATTACAATTCTTCAGTCATCAGTTTAAATCACAATAATGGTAGTTGGTCTGGTATATATTCCTGCCAGCTCTCTTTGCTGAATTTATGCTGTGTGGTTATCTTGCAGATGATCTCCAGTGAAGTAGTAAAAAATGGGCCTTATTCACATGAAAAGGAAAAGGAAAAGGAACATGGCACTCTCTACTCTTCACAATAAATTTCAGGGGACATGGAAGTAGGAAAGCAATCAGTGGTCTTACTGAATCCAGTTAGTTTACCAGAAAGCAAGAATACAGTGCTTTCAGGAGGACTAACTACTCATCCCCTTCCTACTTCACTAAACAAAGGACATCGATTAAACTTTAACATCTTACTGTTTCTTCATCAAGGAAGAACAACCAGTTGCAGCAAATATCCAAAGACAAAAGAATAAAACTAATGAATGTTAAAATAAAATAAAAAATAAGTCTTTTTTTTCACAGCAACAAAATAATTCATTTTTAGTTATTTATAATACCGTTAATGAAGTTCCCTTCTAGAAAAAAATAATTTTATTTATATAGCACTTACATACTTTTAGGAATATCAAACCTTCAAACCTGCTTTACATAGATTCATAAGCAAGGTGTTACAACTGACCACAGATTTCACAGAATCCCAGAATGGTTGAGCTTGGTATGGACCCCTAGAGACCATCGAGTCCAACGCCCTGCTCAAGAAGGGACAACTAGAGCACCGGGCACAGGGTGGCATCCAGGTGGGTTTACACAACTCTACTGCATTCCCAGAGAAATTTTGCTCAAAGCCAATCTGCTTTAATGACAATACGTAAGACACAGTAGCAGGTAGCTTTTCTTTATATTTATTTCCTAACAGCAGGAAAAATGAAGAACCAAATGATTAAACAGAGTGTGATCACAAGGGTGGGAGACAACAGCATAGCCCTATTGGGCAAAGATGCAACAATGCAACCTGAGACTGATGAGAAACTATCCCAAACCTCCAAGCTACTCTACACAGCAAGAAATCCAGCGCCTGCTGTGATCTGTACGTGACATGTGCTGTCCACACGCAGCCCTTCCTCTTCTCAGACAGGCTATGCGAAGGATGGCAAGAGGAGTGCCCCGTCTCTAGCAAGCCTAGGTTACCTTATTAAGTATGCTGCAGAAATTACTTTTAAGTCATTTCCAAGCACATCAAGGCCTCAAGTTGATTAGTGTAAAATGACTTGTCTATTGGCTTTGTTAATGCAAATTCTAACTTGTAAAAGAAAATAAAGCAACAGCAGCGAGATACGCTTCTGCACAATGACGTTCAGTCATTGCTAGATGTCTCTAAACATACAGCCTTGTTGAAAATGTTTTTCAGCTTTCTTCCTCTGATAATATTTTCTGACACGGAGAGAAAAGGAGACAATTTTGTGATGTTAAAACAACCAGATCCCAGCATTTACAGAACTTGCATATTTCTCTATTTCAATAAACTGTAACTAGAGGGCACTGTGCTCTTTCTTGTGGCAGTACATCTGCAGACATGTCTTTAATAAAATCATATGAAATAGTGTTTGGTTGCAAAGCACAATGAAAGCATTTGAACTATGGTATGCACAAGTTACATGAAATAAAGGCCAAATGCTCCTAGCTTGAAAACAATGGCAAAGAGCAGTGTAAAAATAAGCACCACTGGGCCAATAACTTGCTCGACTACTCTTCTTTAACAGCTTTTTCATATGCAGTAATCACTGTACCGTACACAGCACTGTTTATGGTAATGCTCCAATGTAGCACATTTTAGCTTTTATATTCAAAGGACTTTCTTCTTGTCATTAAATCTTGGGCTTACAAAAAGTACAGATCAGAGACTTAGAACTCCTGTTTATCTATAGGAGGGAACTGCAAAGGCAGCAGCCTCTATTTTGACTTAAACAGACCATCAAAATGTGGGAGGGCAAATTAGCCTTGATGCCCTGTATGAATGGTTACAAATGAGGTGACAGTCAGAGCCAGCTGTTGGTTTTTGTAATGTCCCCTGGTTACTCAGCCAAGACCATCCACTTTGTTCATCCCTGTAACTAGGCAGTCATTATTCAAAGGCTTTGGTCACTTAAATATGGACTATATTTGAATCAGCAATTCAAGCTGAAAGCATATATACTCAAACAGCAAACCTGATATATTCACTCTCCCCAATCAAAGAACCTTTTTACAGCGTAACAAACTGGAACAAAGTCATATAACCTCTTAAATGGAAATACGGTCTGTTAAATAAATTAATTGTAATTCAAAAAGCTCAGCTATAATTCCTGCTCCTTAATGACCTGAAGGCAACATTAAGATTTTTAGATCTCCTGTTCCTGTGAGCAACAGCGGTGCCTTGGCACCCACACCGAAAGCAAAGCTTTCCTATAGGAAGGTCGGTATTCACTGTAGGAGCAAAGCCTGCCAGTTGCCATAAAGAGTAACACTGATAGTTGCCTACGAGAAGGTAGCAAAACAACTACAAACAAAACCCTACTGAACACAGTCCTCTGGCTTGACAGGGAAGCACTCATTTCCCATACCCCATCGCAAATCAGTCAATTTAACACAGTGACACAAAGGCAAAGAGACTTCTGCATTACTGCACAACAAAGCTGGAAAAAAAGACGTGACAAAATCTCATCTGTCTTTCTGGTTCTGCTTTCAAGAGATGCTTTGCAGTGTGATGAAAGGTGCCCAATTGTGTGTAGCATCGTAATGCAGCACTTCCAGTACTGCATAAATTCGTGAAAGGCAAAATTTCACTCATGTCAACACCAACTTTTGTGTACTGTAGATCAGATTCCTTTTAAGAATCTGGAGACATAGATGTGCCTGATTTGTCATTTCCTCATACTCTGGAATATTGATTTTCAATTCTTCTCTTAACTGTGTTAAGCCCACAGACTTCTTACGAGATGACCTGTTAATGTCTCAAAATCCTGTGACCTGAGTAACGTAAATCCATGAGCCTCAGATTCTTGCTTGGAAGAACAAATTCAAATATAAAATTTATGTGTGTACTTCTTCACAATTGCCAGCTCCAATTCATTTTGTTCTCTGGATCCCAAAAGAGAACAGGACTGAGGATGATATTTTTTCAACAGGAAAGAAAAGAAGAATTCATGTTGTTGTCTACTTGGGGTCATGTCATAGAAAAACCTATGGGCTTACAGGACAGGTTTTGCTCTCTGATGCATGAAATCAATGGAGATTGCATGTACACACTGGAAAAAAGAATTTACCATAGAATTGCCCAAAGACTTATTATATCCTTTTTTAAATTTTTAATGTAATCTGAATTAAAAGTGATGTAGCATTAATTGAAGGCAGTGACAGAACATTAGATCAATGACATTTTGCAGCTTCTAAAATATACCTAGCTTTAAGCATGATTTGTTCTATGTATCATTTTTAGATTAGGATATGAAAAAATCCCAACTAATTCATGAGCTCAGTACTTACACCAAACCATCATTCTATTTTTAACGCTGGTGAACTGAAGTATATTCATTTATCATCTTTTCTATGGCCAACAGTTTGTTTAATGTATATAAAATGAAAATCTATATTAACCAGTTCAATATGTTTTCTAAAAGCTGATAAACATGTATGATACAGGAAAATACCAAAAAAGCTGAATGATTTCAAATGATTGCAGGTGTATGAGGCCTAGGTCTCCACAGTAAGAAAGTATGCTTTTCACCTGCTTTTTCTTCTTTTACATACTAATAAAGAATAGCAACTGAGAGGTTTAGACCAGAATATATTAAAGAAACGGAGTCCATATTAACATCTTTTTTTCCTTCAAAAACTATTTTTGCCAAAGGTACTACTGTTTTCTTTTAAGTTTGACCAAGCATGCACTAATTAATTCTGCAGATTGATCCTCACTAGTGATCACTGCAACCTGGAGCAGAAATTGCTTCAAAGGTAGCTGTGGAAGTCCAATGTGTTCTTGTAACTTGGCCACACTTGAATGAAAGTGGTATTTTTTGAACTTGTTTTAGCTAACATTATAGTTAGCATGTTTTAAATCTATGGAGTAGACAGGTGAATATACTTTAATGCATACTAATATGTACTTAATTTACTTCTTTATGCAGATAAACTCTCAAATTCAAACTATTAATCTAATTTAAAATTAGTCATTAATACAGAATGAAAATTTCAGATGGGAGCAATCAGTCTCATGAAGGCAATCCAAATCTATGCCAACAGAAAAACATGAAGAATCATGTGAGCATTTCTGCAAAGGTCAGAATTCACAAGTCTCCCTTCATAAGAAGTTCACAACATACAAAATAATGTAAATACCATATAACTTTCTAGCAGTGAAGTAGTATTCTTTCTGAAAATATCCTTATCAGTCCAGAATGTTACCAAATTCAAATACCCCCTTTCTGCAAGATGTGCATCTCCATTTCAGAAGATTTCAATCTTTCCGCTGAAAAGATTTTTTTTCACTGTAAATTAACTTTTTTTATGGACATGACATCATTTTAGTATACTAAAACTTTTCCAAAATTGGACCTGATTGTATAATAATGTCAACTTTAGTATCATTCCATTTTTAAAAGTGTTGAAATAATTGTCATTTTTATCCCACCAATTGTTGTTTAGATACATATCACTGACAAACTAAATAGCACCTCAGTAACATTAGCTTTGCTGTACCAAATCAAACCAAAACCAAAAGTGAGTTTCTTTTCTTCCCCGCTTTCCTCAGGAACAGTGGATATATAGATTTCTCACTACATTAATCCAGAAGCTGATGCAGATCAGCATCGAGACGCCGGTCGTCCGACCTTCGTATGACAGCTCTCACCTTTCAGCTCCCGCGGATCGGCGGGCACTGCCGTAGCTGTTCCAGTCAATACGACCCCATCAGCCAGGAAGAGCTCGGCCGCCCTCGCAGTCTCGGCTACACTGACATCTGCCGTCAGAGCGTGAGCACTGGAAACAGCGGGAACGTACCCTCTGGTTACTCTCAGTACACACATTTGTTATCCATCTTGTTTGATGTTTAGACTGCTTTTCTTCCCTGCTGCCAGAACAACTCAAGCGAGGCTTTTAAGAGAGGGTAAGCACTCTATTTTAAAATAGGAAGTGAGATTGCAATATGAACAAGAGAGAGAGGGGAAAGGAAAAGAAAAGCTTTTCCCTCAGTGTCATAACTGACGGACCTATTGCTCTGGTTCTTTGCTCTGTCTCTGAACAGCAATTGCTAAGAGCGACCTACCAGGCACCCCTGCATTTCAGCAGTGTTGGCTGCAAAGCACACAGCTTCTCTGACTCCAAGCAGGAGTCAGGGATGTTCGGCCATTCACGAATCAAAACCCGCTACCTAGAGCTGAATTAATAACCCAGACTTCATTTCATGAAGTTCAACTAACACGAAGTAAACTCGCTACCTGTAATGGTCACAGGAATCATCTTCCTGTAGCAGCTCCTGCAAACATCAATTACTTGCCTCTTATCTTTGAAAGAGCAGTCCTTGAAGGTGGAAGCATTTTGCATAAAATCTACAGCAACAGCAAATCTTGATGTAAACAGTTCTAAACTTTGAAACAATTTCAGCCATCGAAGGTTAAACATCTCATCTTCTCTTGTCTACTTAGAATAGAAATACAGAAGCACCAATGGCTATAGCCAATCTGTCACACTGATAAGCAGTGACAGAGCCAGGATGGAGACAGCCCTGGGCAGCCTGTGCTTTGCCCTGTATGAAGAAGCACAAGCTCATTCTGCAGGGTTTGCACTCCCAGTGCTAGGTGCAAAAGCAAGGATACTAATTCCTCTTCTGCAGTTGCATAAAGGAGGTCTCAGATTATCTTATAATACAGATAATGAGGTGTACATGAGACTAGCATGTGGAGGGTAGGTAAAAAGGAGTAAGTAGATTATCAAGTAGTTAGACTATAAAAAAGCATTAGAAAGAAACCACCCTGAAGAATCTTAAAGCTTAATTTGACCATGTTGCATGGAATCTTTATATTTTGAAACAGCTCATAGAAGAAAATCAGTTGTTTAAGATCTTCAACTTCTCCCCACTATTACCCATACACTACACACAAACATTTTAATTAGGTTATTTAACATGTATAATATATAACATTTGAACAGTGCTTCTGGAAAAAAAAAAAAGAGTGACATATAAATAGCTAAAAGGATCATGTGACTATTATGATAAAATATGAGCAGAGGAGAAGTTAGATTTATCTGTCATAAGTTCCTTCTGTTTGATAATCACAGAACATGATCTGCATGCAGACAGCACTGATTTAAGTAGAAGAACCAGCATTGTTAGTATGAAGGAAAAAAAAAAAAAGAATTGCTTTCTTAAGTGCCAAAATCTTATGATTTAGATGTTTTGTATGTGGCAACTTGCTTGCACAACTAATAATTACCTTGGATGCTCAGTCTTCTGAAATAAAATTTCTTTAAACATAACAGACATATATTTGATGATGTAACATCTCACTTGATACCAAATGGAAGACATTTCCAGTCTGCAACTACAAATCTTAAAGGTTAAGCAACTGCAAACCTCATAGCTGGAGCAACCTACAGTTTATAGGGTGCAAATTTATCTGTAAATACTTCCCCTAATAGCACCGCAAGTCCATGTTTCAGCAATAAAGTTCTCCCTATATTATTAACTCTTCTGAAACTAATTAGATGTAAAAAAACCCAGAAAATAGAGAAAAACATCTCATCACTCTTGCATTAACATTTATATAAAATACTGCTCTATTTACCTATGTTTCTTTTTAATATCTGCAAAAATCTGAATGTTCTCTGCTCCAATTTGTTTTCTGTATCGTAGCAGGTCGCCTGCACAGGCATTTATAATCCCTTCATCAGCAACATGAGAAAACACAAACCCTTCAGCTCGGATGAAATCAAGACCTGGAGAAAAAAAAAAAAAAAAAAGGAATATTACTTCCTCCTTCCCAAGTTGTTCTCCTTTGTTAAATTTGACTAAAATTGGCCACCAGCTTAAAAAGCATTAGAGACATTAATGCAGCAAGGAAGAGCATAATCTTCTTTCTTTTGGAAGTTAGGTAAGAAAACAAAACCTGTGGGCCATTATACATAATTTATTTGACTCTTTATCTGAATGTAGGTTTTGTTCTCTATACAGCACGACATTAACAAATCACCTCTTGAGCTGTGAGAAAGGTACAGGAAGACCACATCAGGGAAGTAAGGAAGATTTTCCACTCTTCTCCAAACTTACTGTCAGCATCAACCCTACCACAATTTAGCAACACAATTTCAAGTATGTTCATTTATTCTTTCAATTAAGATGCTTTTGTGAGAGGGATGCTTGAGAGGAAGGCTGAGGACAGCAAATGACCTTGAAGAGGCCATTCTCCTCCTATCAGGTAGTGCAACATACCCTTGAAATACTTTTGTATTGAAAATACCAACGGCTTGGGCTACAGTGTAATGAACAGCAGTTAGGCATAAGAAAACGGACTACTATTCCTTTGTAGTACACTACACTCCTTTCCACTTTTTCCATAGCCCTGAAGTTTATTTCACCTGTCACTTAACATATGTGTAGACTCTGCACTACTCTTCTGCAGACTGTGCTGTTCTTGCAGTTTGCTATAGAGCTTTTACCCAGGCTCTTCTGAAGTTCTGCTGCTTCTCCAGTTTTGGAGTGAGCAGCACAATTCACTGGAGCCAACATCATACCAAAGAAACAGCCTCATGGGAAGGCAGCCACTGGGGCTGCAATTCCACCTCCCAGACAACTGCTTAGGCAACAGAGGCCTCATCTTAACATACTTCCAACATAAATAGATATGAGATCTTTACAATATATTTACCAAATGACAAGGTGTCTGTTTATTTTAAAAGCTAAATTTCAGTTTCCTTCCAAAAATCTTGAAGTTGCAGAGACTGAAGCTTATGTACAAGAGAGGAGAGTCTGTATTGCTTAGCAACCCGGATTCCAACTCACACGATGCATCACAGATGGAGGCCAGATCAAATGTGAGTTGTTCTGCTAGGATTTCTAGACTGTAAAGTTGAGAAATCTGCTCAATTCTCAGCAATCATAATCTCTACCATAAGGCAAGGACTACCCATTCAGCAAGACCACTCACTGAAATCACTCCTTGCATGTTGTTTGAGGATACGTGGTATGTGTTTCCTTAGCTTAAGGAATTCAAGACTTTCCTAAACATGAGGAGAGTACTTTGTTTAACAGAGCTGTGCTCTGTATCTGGATCTTTAGGAGCTTTTGAGACACAAATTTTAACCAATAGTAATACGGTGCAGGCACCAAATCATTACCTTTCTGTTTTATGAAGCCATAATCAGATTCCACTAATGAATTCATTTTTAGGCTCATAAAACTGTGAGAATGATACCATTGCTTATTTTCACATTTGGCAAGTTGAAAAGTAATAGCCGTTAAATAGTTAATAGGCACTTCCATTTCTGACTTATATGGGAGCAAAAAAACCCTCGTAATCTCACTGGAAAACAAGAACAGGAAACTTCCAATGAACTATAGTACACAAAACTTCAAAACTTTATTAGGAACATGGAATCATGTATCTAGCAGATCCAGGGCTTGTTTAAGGAAATAGAGTTTATCTCTTTTTCCAAGCCTAGGAATGGTTTTCACAGTCACTTGAACCAACACAGCTCTGCCTAAGCAGCTGTGAAGGTCTATCAACTGTATGAAACTGACTTTCTTTTCTTCTTTCCATGACAGTTGATGATTAAAAGAAAGATATGTCAGAGTTTGAAACAATTTTGCTCTGTCAGAAAATAATGCAAGACTGATTTAGTGGAGGAAATATTACTTTTACTTTAAATGTTAGATACTGCAAATGTGCATATCACTGCATTTTAACAATATTAAATTGTAAACTGGATATGATCATGATGAAGCCCTTTCTAGAGTACGTTGCTTCCTTCAGTTTGAGAGGAAATGAAAGCCAGAATTTCCTGCCTCAGAGAAATGGGATCTGGCCTCTACAAGGTAGCAACTCCTGGTTGCTGCTGAATTTTGAACTGCTTTATACAAAGGCAAGATGTTGTAGGGTAAATTTACTGGTGGCATCTTATTTCCTACGAGCATTTCCTGGCTCCCAACTCCCCTTGACTTCCTAATTCAAAAGAAGTGTGAAAAACACTGATTTTGTGCTACAAATAGAAACTTTGAGGAATACTGACTGCCTGCTGATGCTGAAAGCTATGGAAGACCCCTTGCTACCAAGGGCATCAATTTGCAACAGCTTCCCCACTCAGATGGAACTCCAGGCCAGGGAACAGCAGCATCCCCAGTCGAGTCCTCTACGTGGGATTTCAGCAACCTGCTCCCCAAAGAACAAGGGAACTCGTACAGTTAGTTGGAGGTGGCTGAAGCTCAACTTCCAGAGACTGAGCCCTGATTCATGGAGAATGTAACACAGGCTCATCCAGGAGTAAAGAAACTGCATTTTGTTCTGGGAGCTACTATCCTCGCTCCCAATCACACAGACTGAAGAACTGAGCAGAAAAGGAGACAATAACTCACCCCTGTGCCTTGTGCTTGGATTTTCCACCCCACAGAATCAAAATACAACAAGGACGTGAACCTGAAATATGGGAAGTGCTCCCCTGTATCATTAGATACAGCTGTAGGGACCTATTTATGCCTAAAAGATCAACAGAGAGCTAGGGCAATGTGTTCCAAAACATCAAGGTTTTGGGAAGTTCTTCTCACCATTAACTTTGCCCCCCTCAGATTAATGATGGGTCAGTTGTTTAGCTCTTCCAAATGCTGCCATGTTTTGGTAATGAGGAATACAGAATATGTGCAAAAAGATGCAGAGTATTTCATCGGCATATTTTTCCTGTACTACAAAGGCTCTGCATTTGCTCTGCAAAGACCTACTCTGATAGATGAGAGTCAAGTTGAACATCTCATTAGTGTAAGGAAAAATATATATAGCACGTGAAAGCTGTTGGATGATTCCTTTAGAAACAGGCCTTCCTCTCTAACATAAAGTGTTTCATAATTAGCAAACTTTCAAAAAAACAAAAGCCATGTAATTTAAAAGTAGGTCAACAACAAACAGCTTTGGTACATAGCAGTCAGTTCAAGCATACAAAATAGTTAACTTCAGGAAACAAGACAGTCTGATAAATAAGTCAGTTAAAGCTAACACTAAACTAAAAACCCGATCCAGACTCATTCGACAATCCTGAGCATTGAAAAATGATGACCAGCAATACTTCAATACCTGCTAAGCAAAAAAAAAAAAAAAAAAAAAAAAAAAAAAAAAAAAAAAAAAAAAAAAAAAAAAAAAAAAAAAAAAAAAAAAAAGGCAGAATTTATATTTTTATCTCTTCTACAAATGCTCATCGGCCTCTACTCATATGCATCATTCAGTTTCAACCTCAAGCAGATGCAGTTCGTTACCTCCAAAACAGCTGCCACTTTAGAATGTGTTTGCTTAAATTTTTTTTTTCTTAGGGAAGTACAATGAAACGCAGTAATCACTGGTCTTTCCTAGCTGCTGTTCTCCAGTTACAGTGTAGAACAGTAACAGAGCTGAGCACTAAGCAAATATCAAGCCCTCCAGGAATTCTCTCCCTCATCAATAATTGCTTGGAAATAAGAGAAATATATAATCCCCACATTACACTTCCATTTAGTGATCAATTTTTCTTCCAAAAGGGATGCATAATCTGACCATTTTTGTTTAAAAAAATATAAGCTGTATAAATACATTTGCAAATGCTCAAGCATTTTGAGTATCCTAGCATGCATACAATCCTTACAATGCAAATACAAAAGGATTTTGCTATCTTTTCTAGTTTATTTTTCAGAAAGGTTTTGCTGCAAAAATAAAATTGTTTCTGACAGTTTGTCAAGTAGCTTGATACCTTAGCATGTCATCTTCACAATCTAAAAACACTCAAAATAGATTGAGTTCAAAACACACCTACTACCAAGAATACCCACTAAAAAGGAACTCAATATTTTTAGAACATATTCAACCTGATTAAAACTGCCACTGCAGGTAAGTTTGTCCATACTATCTTAGTCAAAGTAGGTTTCTAAGTTAGTATAAATATCCTTCAGTTTTGCTTTCCTACAGAATTCTGTGTTTAAAAAAAATTGTACATTCAAGAAAAGCGTGGAACTTCACTCTCACTACATACCCCGTATATTCCTCCTCAATTTATGAAGTGTACAAGCAGTTGTAGACTTCCAAATTACACCAGCCTCCATCTTTATATCAGGAAATGTTATAGATGAAAAAATAAAACTGCTTCAGAAGGAGTAGGAAAAGAAAGGGTATCAAGTCTAGGACTCAAGCAATACAGACAGATCAATCAATACTTAATTTCCCTAAATGCATTTTGATTTTAAGTAGTTTGACTAACAGCATATTCATTTTTTGGTCATCATACCAGGAGGCTTTTTTCTACTTATTCATAAAAAGTAAAAAAAAAAAAAAAGAAAGAAAGAAAAAACAGATAACAGTAGTAGCAACATTGTATAGTTAGATATAGATACTGAAAGAGGATGCTTCACCACAGTGGGTTAAACTAATCCCCAAATATAATTTAACTGCAGTAAATAGAGTTACATCAAAGATGGCTTTTAAACATGAGTAGGTTTAAACTAATCATTACATTTAGACAGGTTTCACCTAGAAAGCAGTGGCAGTGGCCTTGGGATTTTTAGCTGCCTGCTACTGAAGCAGTGCACAAGTATCATCTATTACAATCAAGGAGGCATCTTTCTCAAAATCTAATTTCTGCTTTTTCAGGGTACAGTGAGCTTTTCATGTCTCATTTTTCATGGCTTCTATGTTAGTACAATGCACAATTTGCACAGAGTAAATGCCACAGCAAACATCAGCAGGAAGCGATGAGTCATTTCCATTACCTGCTGCAAGAGCCACTGCTGTAGCCTGTTGATTTGCAGCGCACAGAATCTGGACACCCAGCGGGAGACGGGGGCAGGTTCGTCTCACTGCAGCACTAACCACTGTCATTGCTGCCGTTATTTCAGGCCCAGGACAAACTGTGTAGGGAAGATCATGCATGTTCTCTATTATCAAGCCATCCTGTGGAGATTATTATAAAGAAATATGGTCACGCTGGAGGAAGAAAAAAAAAAGAATTTTAAAAACACAGCCAGTTTACTAGTATGCTGACATTTGTATTAAAGAACACACTAAGTTTAAAGATTTTCCTTCAAAGGAAGAATTATCTACAGTAAAATGCGTCGATGCATACAACCACTGCAAAAGTGCTTTCATTAACAGCACAGTATTTGGAAAGAAATCACGAAGAGGAATATATGTGATTTCAACGATACATTTATCAATTAGGTTTCCTTTTATCTGTCCTAAAATGTGAACTAAAGGCGAAAGAGTTAAATCATATACCTCATTAAAAATAATGTGGAGTCAAACTTCAATTATCCAAATGGAATACAGGGTATTGATTGTATTTGGACAACAGAGGTTTTAGATAATCAAGGCAATATTCAATTCAATTAATGTCAAAAGATAAATGTTATTTTGGATAAATAAAGGATTTTCTTGTTTAACTATTATTTCCAAAGTATGTATTACCACTGCATTAACAATTCGTATTTCTCCCACTCTGGATTCAAAATTACTTAAAGGAAGATACTGCCATTTATAATCTACTATACCTCTTACTCCATCTGGGCATATATGTAGCAAACAGTGAATTGACTATAAAATACTCCAATATGTAATATTCCAATGCCAATATAATTTATGTGATATATTGAAAATCTTTGCACATTATCTGGTACCTTGTACTCTTTTAATCATTTGTACAGTATACAGTAGAAAATGCTCAACAGCTACAAAACATATATAATTATGTCAAGAACTAATAGTATGAGTGAAAACATACTCTTGGAACATATTTAAGGTTTCATGTTTTGCATAATATTAAGACAGAAATTTCTCACCTGCTTCAGTCAAAAAATACAAAAAGGTTAGTAAACAAATTCATTGTTTATATAGAAAATAAAATCTATTTCTCTGGAATTTTATCATTAAATTTAGGAGTTCCTACATCTAAGACATTCTAACTGAATCAGAATAGATAAAAAAATTAAATGAAATATATACTATATATATATTAAATACCAACAGAGATTAAATAAGTAGGGTTAATACAGAAAGAACAAAGAAGGAAAAAAAATTACTTCTCACATTTATATTTAAAAATTACATAAATACCTCTTCATTAATCTATATGGCGCTGTAGAAGTTCTTTGACAGCAAAAGACAAGTCAGTATATAAAATGCAGTCAGCATTTAGTGACTGAATCACAAGCTAAACCAGATATCCTAACTAAAGACCTATCATGGATAACGGGGAAAGAAAACTGAGAATGGAAATACCCCTCGAAGTAACACATTACGACTAAGTTCAAGACACGCAAACATTCAAAGACAAGGCACCAGAGTACAGCTGTTTTTGCCAAGCAACTTGTACCTGAATATTTATGTTATACACAAAACACATGCTCCTTAAATACAAGGTGACACCTGTTAATAACGGAGTAAGCACTTGAATTCTACAAGCACCCAGCATCCGGCCTAAGTACCACTTGTTGCCTCTCGAGAAACCTCAATTAACCAAAGGAAAACCAGGTATGACAACTGGCCAAAGCATTCGCACTTTATTTTATGTTTCCACATTCAATTGAACTGTACAATTTAAGATGACATTCTGCCCTCAACAAAACCACAGGGCTTCCAGAATTAAGCAACTAACTTTTAGTAAGTGTGCATGAAGTGCAGTCCACAGTGGTCCAGCAAACCAGAACTGATCAAAGGATCCTCTTGTACCTCCGTGACAACCAGTGAATTCTTCAAGGTACCAGCAGAAAAAGAAATCCTTTAGCTGCCTGCTGTCTGTATGCACACATATATAAGGTCAGTTTATCTAAGAAAGTGAAGTGGGTCAGTAGCGATATATGCCAAAAGTATTAATATTATTCTGATTTGAAACTGAACAGAACAAAAAGAACGCAGCAAACCCTCAAAGCCAGGGGACTCCTTCAGGCCACAAATTGTGGGAACTCAGTCCTTGGCTCAAGAACACACATCTTGGCAGACTTCACCAAAACCTGTACATCCAAAGGACTGTGTGGGCAAAGAGCTAGGACCTACAATCTAGATGTCCCAGACTGCCAAGGTAGCTAAGAGTCATCCTCAGCAGGACGCAAGGCACCAGAGAGCAGGACTGCAAACTTCCAGAGAACTAGATGAGGGGCCCAAAAAACAGGAGAACCAGCTGGCAGAATCTCATTGGAGCACTCCAGTAAAACTGAGCTTTCCACAAAATGTTGCTATTTTGACAGGTCAGGGTTTACACAAAGCAAATTATTCCATTAGATTTGTTATTAAATTTTATTATGCATAAAACAAACACCTTACTGAACATCAGTCCAAAATGCACGATTAAGTCAGACAGATGGGGGGATTCTGGGATTTCTTATACTTCCCTTAAACTTTTCAACTTCATCTGTTTCTATGTACCCAGAGTCCAGGATTACTGTGAATAATCTTGGTCTTACTTCAATAATGTGTTACTCTTCTGGTACCATCAGATAGACTATGTTCTTTTGCATTTTATGTTTTGTTTAATTAAAAAAGAACAACATATGTTCTGCAATAGAGAGCTGAATTACAGATGCATTAACTCAAAGCTTTCTTTCATATTTTTGTATAAAAATATAACACCACAGATTTCTGTATTTATTGAATTTATATGTATATAAAACAGATTTCAATACCATCAGACAGCTAATTAAAATGGTGGAAAGTAAACAGTTATGCTGAATTAAAGTTCTTGGATCTTGAGCTTATAGTGCAGAAGTCTATGGGAACAGTTACTGTATTACACTCCAAAACAGAATTTATTTGGATAGTAAGAGATAAAATTCTAGTAAATACCTCTTGTGTTTCTTTTCCATTGAATATTAAGATGATTTGTGTGTTGTTTTGCAAACAGAACAACCTTATTTTCAATAATTCTCAAACCACATACTTCTTTTATACTTTGAATGACATTTAAAGTATTATATATGTATGAACTGCCTGTTGTATCACAGTTTGCTAGTGGATAGTAGGTCATTTAAATAGCTCTCATTATACATAAAAACAATTTCCTTAGCTTTATTTTACTTATAGAAATAACTTCTTAAAACACTTCAGCCATACACATATATCTCCTCAGAAAAGCCTCGAGAAAAATATAGTTAAAAGTCTATAAAGCGCAACACGTGTAACAGACATACAAGTGTCAGTTCCTTATCTAACATAACTTACATTCATAATTATAACCTCAGTGTTTCCCCTAACAGGAAGATCCCATCTCCAAGTACACACGTACTGATTAAAAAAACCTATGTAAGCTTAAAGCAGCTGCTGTTTCTTACAGGAAGAGAGGGTTTTGTTTGTTTCCTATCAGTCATTATACAAGTGCAGGTGAATGCTGAGATGGTGACAACTGCCCTCCAGCACCACAGGTATACACCTCTATAAAAATCAGACACATTCGTATTTTCCTGTGTTTCCAAAGTCCTTCAAAAACTCCACCTAAGCAAAAGTTTCTATCTTAACTTAGATAAGCAGACATAAAAATATCTTTTTTTACTGTTATTATTTTAAATCTGCTCATAGCTAAGTCTTGAAAAGTTAAACCACTATTAACTCAGATGATAGCTATCTACTTGTGTCTATAACGGAAATGTTAGCTTACTCTATCTCAACTGTTACTAAATCTTAACTTTCTTAACACTAATTACCATGGAAGTTAAGAAAAATCATAGGCTTACCACATTTTTTTTTGAAAACCTTATTGCAGGATACACACTGGCAACCATCTTTTCAAGTACAGAGATAAAACAAGGATCAAGCTGATCAGAAGAGCAACAAAGGCATCTCTAGAGACGGTACTGGCAAAAGAAACAAACTTCGAAATCTTGCTTGGTGGGAGGCATAATAATACTGGAAATTCAATAGCATTTTAAAAGCCCAAAAATTCCAAAAATTCTGGAAAATGAGTATCTTTAACAGTCTTTAATGTTAGCTTTTCAAGTAGCTGCAACCAGGTAGTAATGGTAACTAGTGAAATTTCGAAGTTATGTCAGTGAAATTAAGTGGAACTCTTTGGGTTTTTTTTTTTTTTCTTTTTTTTGCTACAAAGCAAATTTCATTGAATGAATCCCAGGCTGCACTGAGTGAATAAAAATTAAGTAACTTCCACAGTATTTTTGCACCACTCTTTTTAAATAAAAGCAGATACAAATGGGAAGAATCATAATGTCTCATAATTTCCTGCTTATAAAATCTTGTCTAGGGAATTTCATTGTTCAGCATACAAGTACAAAGCTGGTATGTCTTGAGCACAGATGGCTTCCTATCAGAACACACACTTGTTTTCATTATTGTGCTCCAATATCACAGCTCTCATATTTATTATGTTAAACTGCTGATGTGTTGGACAAGTCACCTTTTTTTGAACAAAAATTTATTGCCAAGTGCAATATATGGTGAGTGAGACCACATATTTCACTTTTGAATGTTAACACCAATTAAAACAACTTGAGACAATATACCAACATCTCCTGGTGGTAACAAGATGGTTACAAGTCTCAAAGACAACATAAGCAGCATTTGGAACTACGATCAGTGAACACATCCACAGGGGGGATGTTTGTGTATGGGACCTATGATTTCAGATACTTAACTTCAGAATGACTACTATGGATTTAAGAATCCTAAGAATGCTAAAGGATTCCTAAAGGTACCAAGTCTGGAATTTCTCCAAATCTGTACAGAAATTACTGTTTTTGTCTGGCACCTGTGCACCCAGGAGCCAGTATTAAGATCTATTCAGTCACCACAAAACAGTAGGAGAAGCAATAGACCAGATAGCCCTGAAGATCAGCAAGCCTCATTACAACTGTTGAAAAGACAATGAGGTATAAAATAGAAACAAAATTTCTGTGCCAATAGTGATTTTAACATTTCTCTAAAACTTGATTTGGCTTTTTACAATTTGGCAATGAAAGTAGCTGCATTTCTAGGTTCCCTAAACTTGTGTGTGACAATGTGTGACAATGGCTTTAAGAGAATTATAGATTACTTGTGTAACCACTCCATGGGAAGACAGACTAGCTATTACTTGCCATTAACTAGTACTTGCCACTCTTCTGATATGGATCAAATCACACTATATCTCACATCTTTTCTATAATTGTACAGAAAAGACAAAGTCACGGTACAGAATGCAGAGCAACTTAACATAATTTTCTTTCAGAAAGTCTGAAAAGGAAGACTTATTGTATAGGATCTCACATTTACAGACCATTTTCAATAGGTAGACATCTTCCACACGGCCAATGGCTCCTGGGCACTTCAACCTGTCTATGTAAACATCAATCTTCCACACTGTTTATCCTTTCAACAATTCACTTCTCATGACTCTTTCCTAATTAAGCCTTGCTTTGTTCATAACCTACTTTGACTTGCTGTCAAGAATTTTGGCTTTAGCCTTCTGTAAATTAAGTTTAGATTCAAGCTTGTTCTAACTGCGAAGTTAAATTATATTAAAAAAAATATTTCAGATGAGTGTTTCTTTTTAAAACTTTGCAGAAAACAGTAGCTCTGAGCACTGACTGCTTATCCATTTAAGCTATTTTAAATCTTGGATATTAGGACACCACATTACCATGTCAGCAAACTTGTGTAATACTGCAGGCAGTTCAAGTAAAAAGCACACCGATGCATGGAGACAAGGTGCAATGAAATGTTCAACACACACCTGACCTTTCAAAAGGACATGTACGCTACCTAAAAATTGCCGACCTATTAATATTCCTGCACCACCTTGGGTCCAATGGCAATTCCGTCTATAGTATCTGCCTTTCTTGCCTCTGGCTGAGAGTGGCCTTTTGGGTCTTCCCTAGACATGCCAAATAAGCAAGCTCTCTGACAGAGAGCTATGACTAAAGGATTAAAACAGGCAGGAAAGATCCTAAGCAGCACACATACAACTGTGTGAGAAACCTACAGCGTACTGTGTGCTCAGCTCCCTCAGCAACTTGAACTGTGTGGCTTTTTCAACTCTCCTGCGTGGACGTGATATCCGGCTTTGCCTTCAAAACCTAACGTGCCTTACTCACTGTACTGAAGTAACATCTTTGATTTCAAGCTTCTTCCTAAACTCATTATTTAAGATGCTTTCAGTAGATCCTGGGTATGCTTGGATTCAAAAGTCACTTGCTAGGCAAAGGCAGCTGTAGGCAAACCCTGCCAAGGGGAGCATGAAGGCCAATACTTACAAGTCCAGCATCCCTGTACGTTTCTGCCTCTTGACAAGCTTGGTCAATGATTTTGGCCAAGGGAAGAGAACTTCGTGGTGTGCCTGAAAAAACAACACTGCTTACCCTGGCGCAAGGGAAACTGGAGCTGCATGGAGCAAGTTTTCAGGTAAGGCGACTGCAGGGGCTCGCATGGTGGAACAGGCAGGAATGGGTAACCTTGCCAAGAGGCTGCTGTGCCTCATGGTAACGCAGCTCCATGGCCTCCCTCTCCTTAGGTGCTGTATCTGCTCATCAATAGTTCCTAAAACGAAGCTCTCAGACGTAAGGAGCATCCATTGCAATCCCTCGTGGCACCAGGACTCCCTTTACCCCATCACTGCTCCAGGCAGTGCTGCTAATCCCGAAGTGTCACTCAGGCCGGTACCGGGGCCTGCACAGTGCCTGGCTACACAGCGATTAACCTGAAGTTAGTTCAACCATCTCCAACTCAAACGTGCAGGGTCGACGGGGCTCTTGGGGGCTCCCTGACGGGAAGCCCACGCAGCGGGAAGCCCGCCTGAATTCACTGCGTGACACCCGGGCGCCTCACGCTGCCGCCCCGCTCGGCGTCCCGCCCGCGGCCTCTGCAGGCCCGGCCCGGCCCGGCGGCGCCTCCAGCCGCGCCGCTCCGCTYCCCTGCCCGGGAGCTGCGGGGCCACCGCGGCCCGGCCCGGCGTTGCGGGACGCGCATCTGAAAAGGCTCCCACAGGTTTTTCTAATCTCCGATAA